ATTCCCACTCACACCTGCTTTTTCAGATTTCTTGATATTTCCCTGTTTGGTCCTCTGACGTGAGAGAGACAAAAGGAGAGAAAACAGAGAAAAACAGAAGAGACCTGGGGCTGGGGATTTAGCTCAGCGGCATAAGCACCTGCCTTGCAAGCAGGCGGTAGTGACTTGGATCCCCGGTACCGATAAAAAAAAAAGCAAGAAAGAAAGAAAGAAAGAAAGAAAGAAAGAAAGAAAGAAAGAAAGAAAGAAAGAAAGAAAGGAAGGAAGGAAGGAAGGAAGGAAGGAAGGAAGAAAGAAAGAAAGAAAGAAAGAAAGAAAGAAAGAAAGAAAAGAGAAAGAAAGAAAAGAGACCTTTATTGCGGGCACGGTGGGGCCGCTGAAGAGATGCAAGCACTCTCTGAAGGGAACAAACAAGAAACCACGGGCTTTATTTGGATTGACAGAGGCGGAGTTAAAGGGGCGGGCGGAATGACGTATTGACAGCTGATTGGGGAGCGATGGGGCGCACAAGTGAAAAGCAGGAGGTTAAACTTTGTAGTCTGCGAGAACGTGAAAGCCAGTGCAGAAGGGAGCGCAGTCCAGAACTGCGTTGACTGGCACGTTGACTAGGCCCGTCACTAACCCAGTGGCTGTGTTACACCGTGTGATTCTCATCAGCACTTCCCTGAGCTTGAACGTGTCTTCATGTTGTTTTGGTCATTGATTCTGCAATTGCATATTCACACATTTTACTTTTTTTTCCCTTAGAAACAATGCTGTTTGTTTGTTTCTAGGACTCAAACTCGAGACCTTGCGCTTGCCAGGCAGGTGCCGTGTCGCTAAGCTACATCCTCAGCCCACAAATACTTTTTTTTTTTAGGACTTTTTTATATATGCTGAATAATGAGCCTTTGAAGGGAATGTAGCAGCCAGACCCTGTGATTCTGCAACCATGAGCACACAGGAAAGCACACTCTTCTTTGCCTGTTTCCTAATATAAAATGGGGGTCACTGCAGGCCTTGCCTCTCCAGGATCGGGTAACGATTAAATGAGATGGAATTTGTGAGGTTGCTTCCAGCAGGGTTTGGTGCACAGTCCAGGGAGCGCTGCAGAAGAGAAAGCACTTGGTAGGATATGCGTGATAGGAATCCTCTGTGAGTCCGAAGTGCTCTTTTCATTTTCATGACTGGTTTACACAGATATACACACTCGCATATATATTTGAGGGGAGGCTGAGACAGTCTCGCTTTGTAATGCACGCTGGCCTGGAACTCAGTGATCCTCCTGCCTCAACCTCCCAAGTGCAGGGATTCTAGGTGTGCGCCATCACGCCTGGCTACAGAGACTTTAAAATGACTCAAATGCAGTGGGTTTTTCTTTTCTTTTCTTTTTTCTTTTAAAGGCGGAAAGGTTTATTTTATTTTATTTTATTTATTTCTGAGAGCTTTACTTCAGCTCACAATTTGTGGAGGTTTTATTTCGTCGTCTGCTGGCTCCAAGTGCAGTCTTGACTGGGTGATTCGGGGAGATGTTACACTGCAGATCCAGGAGGTACGGGAGGAAACCAGTGTCACCTGACCCCACCCAGCTCTGCGGATGTGTCACAGCCCTGGGGGACTGGTGTTTGCAGTGTTCCAGCTGAGATATGTCTGCAGAAATCATGTGAACCGAATTGGGAGGATTAGTTTAGGTTGTGAGAAAAGTAAACTAAAAACTGGAAGGAACAAGTGAAGAGCAGCACTTACTGGCTCCTCTAATGTAAAACTGATTTCAGACACAGCTGGGTTCAGCGGTTCCATGCGCCTGGGAGCCTGCCCTCTCTTGGCACCGTTTTACTGGAGCTCCTTAGCCCGGGCAAGGCCTCCCTTGCACGGGGCCAGCGTAGATGCTGGGGCTTCTGGGATACCAGCTCAGCCTGGGGTGAGGGGGAGGTTATGGGGTGTGGCCTGGGGTGTGGCCGGGATGTGGCCGGGATGTGGCACTCTGATTGGCACCCCAAATCATTCCGAATGCCCCTTGGTCCGGGGGTGGGGGGTGGGGAGAGGGGGCCTTCAGGAGCCACTTGGCTTGAGAATGAGGTCCCCTTCCCCCGCGGGTGCTGATTCCAGGAAAAGGGAGCTCTGGTGGGCTTATAAATGGTCGGCTCTTTAAAACAGCAGCTATCATCGGCTGCGGTGGCACAGGCCAGTCATCTCCACACTCTGGGAGGCTGAGGAAGAAGGATCAGAAGTATAAACGCAGACCGGGCAATTTGGAGACTTGGAGAGACTTTGTCTCAAAGCAGATTGGGTGGCTCCGTGCGGAGGCCCTGGGTTCAATCCCCAGTACCGGGGAGTGGGAGCAGAAGGAAAAAAGAAAACAGCTCCAGCTCCAGCCCTGACCTCTGTCTGGTGCCGGCCTGGGAAAGCATATTTGGGATCCTCGATGCAGTGTGGGGAGTGACAGAGAACACTGGCTTCTGGGATGGAACTTTGAACCCTGCCACCTAATGGACGACAGGCGGGGAACCAGGAGCGCTGTGTGAAGGCGGAACCGAATGGGCAAACAACGGCTCAGGGCTGGAACAGGCAGTTTCACGGGTCTGCCAAGGTGTCAACCAGATTTGATTAAATATTTGGTCCTGCTGGGAGTGGTACCTAGGGGCACATGAAACGAAAAGGCTGGACTTGGAGGCCTGGGAAGGTAGATGGCAGCCAGATGGCAGAGGTGACCCAGGAAGTAACAGATGCAGCAGTTTAGAGCCAGAGGATTTTGCAGGGCCGCGGATGGAACCTCAAGATGCTGCATAACATACGATGGTTATTTGGGGTAGCGGGGACCAGGGATCGAACAGGCACTTATGCTGCTGAGCTAAATTCCCAGCCCCTGTACAAGGATTGTTCAGCACCTACTATGTGCCAGGTGCTTCTCTTGAACACCTCCCATGTATTAACTCACCGGCTCTTTACAATCCTCCACGGAAGGGCTAATGATCAACTGCATTGTAGAGATGAAGAAACAGTCACAGAGCAGTTAAGTGACTTGCTCAAAGACACACAGCTCTAGGTGGCAGAGCTGGAATTTGAACTCATGCTCTTGGCTCCTAACTCCAGTAATGTGCTGTAACCTCTCATATGGTTTGTGTGTGTGTGTGTGTGTCTGGGGAGGAGGTCTTGGCAATTCTATGGGAAGAAAAACTCTTTTCATTTTGTTTTGGTACTGGGAATTGAACCCAGGGCCTTTTACTGAGCTATACCGCCAGCCTTTTTAAAATTTTTATTTTGAGATGGAGTCTCACGAAGTTGCACAGGCTGCACACAAACATGCAACCATGCAGCCTGGGTTTCCTAGAGTGCTAAGATTACAGTGTTTGCTACCATGTCCTGCTCTCTATGAGCCTTCTGTTGGCTGTGCAGCCAAGGGGGCATGGACAACACAGTGGGAGATCAAAACATACGGTGAATATGTAAGTGTATTACGGTAACAGACACGTTGCCATTAACCCCCTCTAAATGCTCTCCTTGCCCTGAATACACTTGTCCCATTGTTCTCGCCACTTCCTGAAGCAGTTCTGATGTTCTCTCTCATAAGTGTCTTTACAAAGTATGATAAAAAATGTGGTGAATGCTGCTGCTGAGTGTATCCGGTGGAAAGGCAGGTTCAATAAAACACATTGTGGGGGCTGGGGATTTAGCTCAGCGGCATAAGTGCCTGCCTGGCAAGCGGCAGTTGTGAGTTCGATCCCCAGTACCAAAAGGAAAAAAAAAAAAAACCCAAAAAACAGACTGTATAAAAAACCACATTGTGGTTGTCCACCTATAATCCCAGCACCCGGGAGGCTGAGACAGGAAGATTACTGCAAGTTTGAGGCCAGTCTGGGCAACACAGTGAGTTCAAGACCAGCCTGAACTACATGGTGAGACCCTGTCTCAAAAACAAACAGAAAAAAGATTCTATTTTATCCTCACCTACCTTATTTGCTGTGTCACTTCTGGCTCTGCCCCATAGTCAAAATGACCATGAAAGGTAAATGTTTTGAATCAGTTCAGGTCATCAGGGTAGCCATGACTGCACAGCTAGAGTTACAAAAGAGGACTCCCAGAACTGCTTCAGAGAGTGGCGGGACGATGGGCTGAGTGTGCTCAAGGAGAGGAGGATTTTGAGGGGGTTTAATGACGATGTAATACATTTTATTGAAATAAATTTTTTAAATGTAAGCATTCATTGTAATTTTTTCTTTTTAATCACATCAGGTATGTTTTGGCCTACTAGGAAGAAAGGATGCCAGGGCTGGGCATTTAGCACAAGGTCATGAGTTCAATTTCTGTACCAAGAAAAGAAAGAAAGAAAGCCAGAAAGCGTGGGGACATCTGAGGTGCCACCACACAACAAAGCCTGGCAGGACAGGAGGCCCCAAAAGGTGGGCTTCTGGCTTTTCTGAACCTGTTTCTCCCTTTGCTTCCAGTGGCTTCCAGAGTCCTTTGCAGTTCTGCCCAGACCTGGGGCTCTGCAGATAAAATGGGGCATCGTGGGCACAGGGGCCCTGGTGCCCAGCACAGAGCAGTAGTCTGAAGGGAAAGAGCGAGGGTTCCATGGCAAGTGGGATCGAAGTGTCACTTGTGGGTCACAAAGGCAAAAAGATGGAGAAGGTCAGGAGGCCGGGGCAGTGGCACATGCCTGTTAATTCAGCACACAGGAAACTGAGGCAGGAAGATGGCTAATTCCAGGACAGCCTGGGCAACTTAGTGAAACCATCTCAAGAAGTAAGCAGACACAAAATCAGAGGCTCAGAGTGAGGCTGAAGTGAAGACGTGAAATGGTGGGGAGCAAGAGTCAGGTGAAGAGGGCCTGAGGAGTGGAGGCACAGAGGTGCCTTGCTCCCCATTCCTGCCGTCACCAGCACCCCGGGACAGGAGGAGCAGGTGGAAACGACCCCACACTGACCTCCTTCTTGACACTTGCCCGTCTCCCTCAGCTCTGCCCACTTCCCCTCCTGGTGCTGGTCAAGCCCATTAAGCTGCTGCCCTGGCCACAACTGAAGGCCCCACGCCCCAGGGAGGAAACCACTGAAGAGGCGTCCCTGCTGCCTTGCACCCCAAACCATCAATTAATATTAACGAGGGAAGGCTGCACACTGCCTAAAGACCCCCAACGGGGCGCAGGAGGAGAGGCCCCGCCCCATGACTCAGGAAGTTAAAGGACCTGGAGCCACCTGGGAGCCCAGAGTGCCCCGATGGAGATGGCGTACAGCAGCGGGAGGGTCACGATCCAGCTGGTGGATGAGGATGCGGGGACAGAAGCCTGCGACCCACAGCCCTTTCGGGGCCAGAGCTACGAGGCAATCCGAGCAGCCTGCCTGGATTCAGGAATCCTGTTCCGCGACCCCTACTTCCCTCCTGGACCTGACGCCCTTGGCTATGACCGGCTGGGGCCGAACTCGGAGAAGGCCAAAGGGGTGGAATGGAAGAGGCCCAGAGTAAAGTGTGGGGCTGGGTCTAAGGGAGGAGACTGGGCCTGGACCCTCAGGTCTGAGGGAGGAGGCTGGGCCTGGACCCCCAGGTCCAGGGGAGGAGGCTGGGGTTCTTGGCTGGGAACAGGCCCAGCATCCTGTACTCAGGGAAGCCACCCACTGCTCCCAGGCCCCATGACCTTTCGTGGGCTTGAGGACTTGTCACCTGGAGCAGTTTCACAGGGGACCCAGGCATCTGGCCCTCTTCCCCTTCCTGGACTGACCTGGAGCCTCCATCGCCCCTAGGAGTTTTGTGCTGAGCCTCAGTTCATCTGCAAGGACATGAGCCGGACAGATGTGTGTCAGGGAAGGCTGGGTGAGCCCCCTCGGCCCGTGCTGTCGAGTCCCAGACCCAGGAGTCCCAGCTGGGACCCTCACAGCTCTGTCCCTTGGCCCCCTCACTCCGGCTCTCCCTCTTTACCCCTCACCCAGCCTGGTCTCTCCTCCAGGGAACTGCTGGTTCCTCGCAGCTGCCGCCTCCCTCACTCTGTACCCCCGGCTCCTGTACCGGGTGGTCCCCCCTGGACAGAGCTTCCAAGATGGCTACGCAGGTGTCTTCCACTTCCAGGTAGAGCTCGGTTGCTTAGTCCACGCCTCAGCTCCCACCCCCGGTTTCATCTTCGGCCTGGTCCCCTTGGAGGCCTTCTAGGGCTCTGGGCAGAGCTTGGGGGCCCAGCGGGCCGGGGCCGTGGTTGGGAGCTGAGCCCAGGCCCTGCCCCTCCCCCGACAGCTCTGGCAGTTCGGCCGCTGGGTGGATGTCGTGGTGGATGACAGGCTGCCGGTGTGCGACGGGAAGCTGATGTTTGTGCGCTCAGAGCAGCGGGAGGAGTTCTGGGCCCCGCTCCTGGAGAAGGCCTATGCCAAGTGAGGACCGGGGGCCTCCAGCAGCACCCTAAGACCGGGCAGCAAGCCCAAGCTGTAAGGGACCCCCAGCTGCCAAGGGCCCTGCACAAAGTCACAACCGTCTGAACCTTCCTATGGCGACATGGCCTGAGGACCCGAGCTCTTCTGGGGGGAGAGGAAAGAGGGTTACTGAGAATCCAACTCAGGAGCTCATGATTGCCAGGCAGGTCCTGGGCCACTGAGCCAAATCCCAGGTGCCCAGGACTTGATCTTCAGATCTTAAGCGCCTCCCTCCTTCCTCGTCCCCGTGGACCTTGAGGCCTCCAGTACGGGCCCTGACTTACCCCTCTGAGGACCTGTGATCTCGGAGTCTTTGGTCCGTTGAGACATCCAGCGTTACCCCTCACCCCCATACTAGCTGTAATTCTGGGACCCTCAAATTATTCCTTCAATGTCCTGAAGGTCTGGAATGCCTGGCGGCCCCCACTAAGACAGGCTGGCCAAGATGCAGCACAGCCCCATGGCTGTCGGGCCTTAGAGTTCCCATGGCCTCTCGGTGACCCCCAGGTCCAGATCTCAGGCCTCTAGCCTACACTGCCACTGATGCTCCCGGGCCCCCCTGGCACAAGGATAGAGGGTCTAGGGCTGGGAGGATGAGAGCATGGTACCCGCCTCAGACCCACCCCAACCCCAGGCTCCACGGCTCCTACGAGATAATGCAAGGCGGCCACATGAACGAGGCTTTTGTGGACTTCACGGGCGGCGTGGGCGAGGTGCTTTACCTGAGGGGCCACACACCCGGCCTCTTCTCTGCCCTGCGCAACGCCCTGGCCAAGGAGTCCCTGGTGGGCGCCACTGCCCTGGTAAGCGTGGGGCTCCGCTTGGCAGCAAAGGGCTGGGCTCTCGGGTCAGGGAGGGAGCACCTTGTCTTTTCCTCTTGGCTTCTGCTGCTGACTCATTCTCTCTCTCACAAACCAAACTGCAGCAAGTTAGGAGCAATTTATTTGCACTCATAACAAGACAAGCCTCAGGCATGGCTGGATCTGGGTGCTCTGAGGATACTGTGAAAGTAGGTCGGAGTTACTCACACTTGGGGCAGGCTGTCTCCTGCCCGTAGCTGCTGCTATCACCTAGCCCAGGGTAAAAATGCACAAATAAAGAGAGTAGCTGTTTTTGAGAATTTCAACAGAAGCAGCAGGATGGATTCTGATGGGCTTAGCCTGGGTCATGTGCACTTCTGTGACCCCACCGTGCCCTTGGGCCTTCGTTTTCTACTCTTTATTTTATTTTTGGCTTCTTGAGACAGGTTCTCAGTACGTTGTTCAGGCTGAGCTAGAACTCCCTACATAGCCCAGGCAATCCTCCTGCCTCAGCCTCCTGCGTGCGACGTTTACAGGCACATGCCACAATGCCTAGGTTCACGCCTTCACTGAGTTGGTCTAACTCGGCCACTAGTCCATTCCTTAAGGCTGCGCCTGGTTACTGTGGCTCCATCTCTGTGTCTGGCTCGTCAGCACCTTGGTCTCTGCTGCTCAGTGCCCCTTCCCACTTAGCTTCCACTCCCTCCTTCTCCTGTCTCACCCACTCCCACTGCTGAGCCCTGAGTGGTGCCGCCATGCCGTGCTTGAGCTGCTGTGCTGGCAGGAGGTTGGGGGCTGAGGGAAGCAGCTGGCCTCCACCTTGAGCTCACTGTCCCCTGTCCTCTGCTCAGAGTGACCGGGGCGAGTACCGCACAGAGGAGGGGCTGGTGAAGGGACATGCGTATTCAGTCACAGGCACGCACAAGGTGAGCCATCCCTGGGGGCAAGCTGGCAGGGGCGTCCGGGCGCCCCTGCCACTTACTGTGCTGTCCTCAGGTGTCTCTGGGCTTCACCAAGGTGCGGCTGCTGCGGCTGCGGAACCCGTGGGGCCGCATAGAGTGGAACGGGGCCTGGAGTGACAGGTGGGACAGGCTACGGAAGAGGGGGCTGGGTCCCCCCTGCCACCCTTCACACCCACACTCGTCTCTCCAGCTGCCCACGCTGGGATGCGCTGCCCCCTGAGTGGCGAGATGCCCTGCTGGTGAGGAAGGAGGACGGAGAGTTCTGGTGAGTTCTGGTTTCCCAGCTCCACCTCCATGAGGACCACTGAGTCTGGGCACTGAGGGACAGAGTAAGAAGGGACACAGAGAAATTCATGAGGATGTGTCCATGGCCGCAGTGACGTTGGGGGGAAGGGGGAAGGCACTGGAGCTGTAGTAAGCATTGGAGGGTTGGGAGGAGGCAAGTAGAATTAGGTATGTAGGACTTGAAGGTGATTTAGGGACATTTTGGGACTTATTTTGTCTTTTTGAGACAGGGTCTCGCTATGCAGTTCAGGCTGGCCTTGAGCTCACTTTGTAGCCCAGGATGGTCTCAAACTCGCAATATCCTCCTGCTTCAGCCTCTTGACTGCTGGGATTACAGGCATGAGCCACCCCACTGTTTGGGACATTTCTTGAGATCTGGCAGTACTGAGATTCTGAAGGATTCTTGTTGAAATTGGAGTCTTAGTTTTTTCAGTACAGAGGATTGAACTCAGCCCATTTATAATTCTTTATTTTGATATAAGGTCTTGTTAAATTACTAAATTGCTCAGGCTGGGTGCAAACATGAGATCCTCCTGCTTTAGCCTCCTAGGTGCTGGGATTATAGGCCTGTGCCATCATCCCCCGATCTTTGGGGTTTTATAAAAGCGATTTGATGATATTTGGGGGCTGTGGGTGACAGAGTCTGTGGGCATTTCCGGGGACTTGGATACCTGGGAGACCTACAGGGCTTGGTGATTTCTGGGCGGATGGGTACTTGGCAATATTTAAGGACCTGAGAGGCCTTGTGATCGGGGCCAATTCTGGGGTCTTGAGCTGCTTTGGGCGCCCTCCAGGATGGAGCTGCAGGATTTCCTCCAGCACTTCAACACCGTCCAGATCTGCTCCCTGAGCCCAGAGGTGCTGGGCCCCAGCCCAGCAGGTGGCAGCTGGCACATCCACACCTTCCAGGGCCGCTGGGTGCGTGGCTTCAACTCTGGCGGGAGCCAGCCCAGCGCTGGTGAGACCTGAGGGCCCTCGGGGGCCATGTTGGGGTTGGGGCCCTGGCAGCCTGGGGACCCCCTTCTTCCTCCCCTCCTAGAAACCTTCTGGACAAATCCCCAGTTCCGGCTGACGCTGCTGGAGCCTGACGAGGAGAAGGAGGACGACGACGATGAAGGGGGACCCTGGGGAGGCTGGGGAGCAGCAGGGGCAAGGGGCCCTGCGAGGGGAGGTCGTACCCCCAAATGCACAGTCCTCTTGTCGCTCATTCAGCGCAATCAGCGGTGCTTGAGGGCCAAGGGCCTCACTTACCTCACCGTGGGCTTCCACGTGTTCCAGGTGAGGCCTTGGGGCAGCGCCGCGGGGGTGAGGAGGCAAATGTGCGCCAAGGAGAGAGAGCTGCAGGAATCAGAGGGAGGACCAGGCAGAGACTGAGGGGCCAGAGGGGAAGAGAGAACCAAAGTCAAGGAGGGACTGTCATGGTAGCACAGGCCTATCATCCCAGCACTCTGGGAGGCTGAGGCAGGAGGACCCTAAGTTCGAGCCCAGCCTGAGCAATTTAGCGAGACCTTGTCTTAAGAAAAACCAGGTTGAAGGCTCAGTATAAAGGCTCTTGATTCAACCTTCAGTACCCCTACTCCTTAAAAAAGCTCCTCTAAAAGGGGACAGAAAGGGAAGGGGAAGGCTCGGCACTGGGGCTAGCGGTTCAAAGCATGAAGGACCACGGGGACCTAGGAAGAGGGAGGGGCCCGAGGCGTAGGGGCGGGGCTACGAGCGTGGCCCCGCCCTGACCCCGCCCCTCTCCCCTTACAGATCCCGGAGGAGGTGGGTCTCAGAGGGGCTCGGCCACGCCCTCGGCCCGCCCCAGGCGCGGCGGCCTCGGTGGAGAAGCGCAGCGGGGTCTGGGAGCGCGGCCGGGACCGGGGGCGGGCCGGGAGGGGCGGGACCGAGGCTCGGCCGGGACGTGGGCTGGCGGGAGGCGGCGGCGGTGGGGAGTGGAGGTCAAGCTCCCCGCTCCGCAGCTGCTGGGCCTCTGGGACTCGCCGCGCAGCCGCGAGCTCCTGCCCCAGCTACTGCGCGCCGACCGCTCGGTCTTCTGCGCCCGCCGCGACGTGAGCCGCCGCTGTTGCCTGCGCCCCGGCCACTACCTCGTGGTACCCAGCACCTCCCGCGTCGGCGACGAGGCCGACTTCACCCTGCGCATTTTCTCTGAGCGCAACCACACTGCAGTGTGAGCAGGGACCCCTGCCCTCGCCCCGACAGCAATCCCCGACCCGGTGCCCCCAAGCCCTGCCCCAGACTCCTAGTCAGGCTCCGGGACCCCAAGCCGGCCCTGCCCCCCGGAACCCTGACCCTCACCCCACCGCACCCGAGGCCAAAAGTCCCAAGACCCCACCCGATTCCTCCAGAGACCCCTTATGCCCCACAGCTCAGCCGTGGGGTGACCAACACCCCATCTCCCATCTCACTTTGCAGGGAGATAGATGATGTGATCAGCGCTGACCTGGAGACCCTCATGGTTATGGGGCTTACCTGGGAGAGGAAAGGCGGGAAGGTGGGGGATTGGGGCCAGAACTGACCGAACCCTTGTCCCTCTTAGGTCCCCTCCAAGCCCCTGGAGCTGGAGTTGGTGAAGCTGTTTCTGGAGCTGGCTGGGCAGGTGAGGGGGTTCGGGCTGGGGTTCCCTCCCTCCTCCTGAGCCTCTCATTTTACTATATTCCTCCCTGAAGCTTCTTTTCTGGAAGTGGTCAGAGCTCTTCCCTGCCTCGGAGGCCTGGGGACAGGCTGCACCCTGGGCCTGGGCCCCTTCCTTCCCATCACACCCTGCCAGCCTCAGGCCTCTTCTTCCCACCATCTTTCTCTGTCCCGGTCACTCACTCCCTATGGGCTCCCACAGCCCAGTGCTACTCCCCTTGCTGCCTATACCCAGCACTGCCCAACACAGGGCCTGGTTCAGTCAGCAGTGTGTTGACTGGCTGTATGAGTGAATGACCCTTTCCCTGCCTAGGAGGAAGAACTCAATGCCTATCAGCTCCAGACCTTATTAAGTATTGCCCTGGAGCCAGGTGAGTTGGGGTGGAGGCTGTTGACCACCCCCTGCACAGCACCCTGGTGGGTTAATATGTGATGCTGCTGAGCATGAAGCCATAGGAAAGTTGGGTTCAGCTTAATCGCATCTCCTGGCCTGTGGCCGGGCAGCACAGTGGCCCGAGAGCTCCTCTTCCACTGTGGACAGGACAGGGACTCCTATCTGGCTGTAAATCCCAGCTCTGCTTGCCTGTGCCAGCCAAAGGCCTTCTGTGGCTCAGGGTCTGTGAAAGGCCCATGCGGGGAGCTGTGTCCACCTTGCAAGGAGGCCCAGTGCTGGTTTTTTTGTTTTGTACAGCCAGAACCAACACTAGGAATCCTGGGGAGATCGGGCTCAGGACCTGTGAGCAGCTGCTGCATTGTTTTGGGGTACAGTGCCTGGGAACCGGGAATGGGGACGCTCACCTTTCTGGGGCTACTGACCTTAACCAGATGCCTGCATCTGCAGCATGGGCAGAGCCTGACCCTGCACCACTTCCAGCAGCTCTGGGGCCACCTGCTGATGTGGCAGGTAAGGTTGCAGCTGGGCAGGGCCCAGGCCCCAGAGAACAAGGGGTGGACCGGGCTACCCTGTGCAGGGTTGGGGTGACCTGGTACTCCTCGGTGGTCCCTGGAGGGATGGAGATCACAGCATCTGGTCTTAGGTTGGACTCTGGGCTCCACCCTGTTCAGGCTGGGTAGCCTCGGGAATATCCTTTCCCTCCCTGGGACCTCTGCATGGTTAAGTGTGGGTAGCCAAACCCCTGCGGGGAAGAGATGGCCGAGGGGCTCTCTACACTGCTCACCCTGAGAAGCCAGCACGTGGCAAGCTTTCCCTAAGCCTCTGCATAGATGCAGACCCTCCTCACCTGTGACCTGGAGTCTGCCCCCAGCAGAGGAGGAAACAGGTACAGGGGGCTAAGCTGCTGGTCCAGGGCCAACAGCCAAGTAGGAAGGAAGGTGCTGAGCTGGGAGCTGGCTCTGCAGCCTCTGAGGTCCCTTCCAGCTTCTTTAGGGCACAGGGCATTGTTTAGGCCCCTTGGTGCTGGGACTGGACTCCCCTCCTCCTCACCCAGGCCACATTTGACAAGTTTGATGAGGACACCTCTGGGACCATGAACTCCTATGAGCTGCGGCTGGCACTGAATGCTGCAGGTGTGGACAGGGCCCTCGGGGTGTTTGGGGGATACGGCCTGGTCTTCTTCCTGTCCCATCTGCCTCCATTCACAGGCCTTTTCCCAAGCAGGGCTTGGGTGGGATCCCCTTGGTGTGGACTGAGGGCCTCCCAGGAAGGGAACACTGGGCACTTGGGTCTGAGGCACTGCTTCCTGGGCATCATGGTGGAATATTCTAGATTCGGGTGAGCTTGGGTTGGTATGGTCTTCCTGCTGGTACATGACTCCCTCTGGTGGCCTGAGGGTAGCCAGGGCACCTGTGGGGTGACACCGCATAGCACCCTGTGCAGCTCTGCATACTGCCCCAGAGGAAGGTGGAGAAGCTGGGTCTGGTGGCAAACTGCCTGCAATCCCAGCACCCTTCAAGGTTGAGGCAGGGCTCAGTTTAAGCCCAGTTGGGCAACTTAGTGAAAACTTGTATCAAAATAAATGGCTGGGGGAGAGAAAAAAGGCCTGGGATGTAGCTCAGTGGGAAAGCTCTGGGTTCAATTCAGAGAACCACCAGTTCCTGCTGCAGGGAGGGCGGGCCAGCTGTTCCCTGGGTGTGAAAGCACAAAGCCATACTCGAGCCCTGGAGAGAACCAGCCTGAGAGAAGTGCTTCCCACTAGATTGGGACCCAGTGGGAGATGCAAGGGCCCATCTGTCATGGTGCAGTAAAGCCATGGGGGACTGGAGACCAAGGGACTGGGACCCTATCAGAGACCAAGGGAGGACTGCATGTTGGGGATATGCAGGTGCCCCAGGATGTGTAAGGTCGGCTGAGCCTATATCAGGGAGGTGGCATAAGACAGGAGATTGGGAGTTACAGAAGCAGAGGTGACAGTGAGGGCGCTGGGGCATAGTAAACAAGCCTGGAATCCCTAGCACTTCTGGGAGGCTGAGGCAGGAGGATCACAAGTTCAAACTCAGCCTGGGTTAACTTAATGACTTATTGAGAAACTGCCTCAAAATTAAAAATAATAAAAAAGAAAAAAATAAGCTCAGCATGAAGGCCTTGGCTCAATTCCTAGCACCATTCACGCACACAAAAAAACCAGAATTGCCTCTGATGTGGGGTATGGAGTGACTCGATTGCTGACTGCCATGCATGCTGCTACCCAAGGGTATTTCCAGCGCCCAAGTGACTGTTCCTTAGTTGCCAGGTGCCACACATACAAGCCCTCCCTCTTCACACCCCTTGTGTGAAGGGATGTCACAGTCCCATTTAATAGGAGATAGCCCCAGTGAAGTGAAGGGAGCAGCCTGCAGCCACATGGACAGGACTGGACCCAGGCTGCTGGCAGGGAGGGGGAAAGCAGCCCATCTTGGGTGCAGTGTGGAAGTGGGGCTCCTTCCCTAGGCTTCCATCTTAACAACCAGCTGACCCAGGCCCTCACCAGCCGCTACCGGGACAGCCGGCTGCGTGTAGACTTCGATCACTTCGTGTCCTGTGCGGCCCAGCTCACCTGCATCTTCTGTGAGTGCCACCCCTGCTCGGTGGGCCCGGGGCATGTGTCTCCCATGATGGGGTGTGGAGGGTGCTCACTCTGCCCCTCTCTGTTCAGGCCACTGCAGCCAGCATCTGCACGGGGGTGCGGGGGTCGTCTGCCTGACCCACAGACAGGTAAGCCGGACTGCAGGAACTGTGTGGCCGTGGCACCATTCGGGGACCCCTGCCTCAAACCTGCCTCTTCCTTCTCTCATGCAGTGGACAGAGGTGGCCACCTTCTCCTAGGACATTAGGTCAGTGCCTGCTGCCCAAGCCCTGCCCCTCCACGTCTAGCACCAGCTGCATGCCCAGCCGACCCAAGGATGAGGCTGCCGCTCACTGCTCTCCCTAGGGCAGCGCCGGCTGCTTGGCCCTGCTCCCTGTTTAGACCCAGAGGCCTGCGGCGCCTTTGGCTTTACACAGGATGGGAACGGGGTCTGCGGGCTCCTGAGGCAGAGAACGCACAGCAGAGAAGAGAGGACACTGCACGGCTCCTTAAAAATATTATGTTTTATTATCCTGTCCCCAAAAGGGTGGTTTATCCAGAAACCGTGAAAAATCAATCAGAATGAACTCAAAAGGGGCAAAGGGGAGGCAGAACCATCAGTTACCAGGCAGCCAGGCCAGCGGCCCACCCCCACCTCAGGAGGTCCCCAGAGACCCCTGCACCACAAACAAGGACCAACAACCAGGACAGGGCCGGGAGGGCAGCACGTCAGCTATGTCTTCATTATGAGAGCAAAAGAGGCGGCAGAGATACGTTGCTAGGTGAATATATATTTATATAATAAATCCGTAAGTTAATAAAGTAAATAGTAATCTTCTGAAAGTTTTTAATTTTTGTAGTTTATTTTATTTTTTTTGGTGGATTTTTTTGTTTTTGTTGTTTTTTTTTGTGTTTTTTGTGGTTTCGTTTTGGTCCTTAGAAAATCTGAGACGGCAAGTCCAGACAAAGCAAGGCCGGGGTGGGCTGGGGCAGGGCCCAAGCTGCCTGCCACCCCTCTGTGGCATTGGGGGTGCTAGGTGCTGCACCTCAGCTCCTGGCAATCACCGATGCCGCAGGAGGGCGGGGAAGGAGCAGGCTGGTCCAGTGGCTAGCTGCAGTGCCCTATGCTGGACCCTTTGTAGGGCAGGGTGGTTCTTGGACAAGGCACATGGGGCTTTGGCCTGGAGGGACCTCAAGGGCAAAGGGAAAGACTCAGGTGTGGAGGGGAGTCCCCAGGGCACAGAGGAATCTATGGTTGTCTCCACATAGGTTTAAAAAAAAAAAAAAAAAAAAAAAAACCACAATAATACATCATATATATTTACCAGACCAGGGGCACTGGCCCCAAAAGTCTCCCTTCTCCTACCTGATGGGGGGACCTCCTGGCCAACCAACAAGAGAGAGGAGAGAGCCTGCCCCAGCCCCTCCCTGCCCACCCACCCACCCCCAAAGGCCCAACAGAGAGTGCTTTGCATAGATACAGAGTCAGGGGAGCAGAGACCCAGGCCCCTCCGGGAGGCCTCAAGGGTGTGGTCCGATGGCAGGGGGCTCACAGATCACTCTCGCCATAGAGGGCTGTGGAGAAGGACTTGTAGTCCAGAGCGCCGGGCACAGCGTCGGGGCCCTGGTAGGGTGCCATGCGGGCAATGCAGTACTCGGCCTGGTCAGGGGGCAGCTCTCTCCGCAGCTCCTCAGCTGTGATGAAGTTCTGGGGGCAGCAGGGCAGGACTCTGAGCTACTGCCTGCCCCATGTTACCCTCCCAGCCCCTCATACCAGTGTGGCCAAAATTCCTGCTGTACAGAGCCCTCCTGCCAACGTGGCGCCCAAGGGGTCCCACTTACCTTGTCCCCTGCCAACACCTTGAAGGAGGCAATGACCTGGTCGGCTGTGTCTGTGTCTGTGGTCTCCCTTGACATGAAGTCGATGAAGGCTTGGAAGGTCACAAGGCCACTGTGGTTGGGGTCAACCACACTCATGATGCGGTTGAACTCGGCGTCACCCTGAGGGGATGGGTGCGGGGCACAGGCAGCACTTAGTGGGGTAGGGGCAGTCAGGCAAGGACTGCTGGGTTCAGTCCCCAAGAGGAACAGCCTGGATAGAGTGCAGGCCACACTGTCAGCCCAGGCAGAGCTCGCCGTGTGGCTGTTCTGGCCCTGGCTAGGAGCCATCCCTGCATCCTCCCCTCCCACCTCTTGGGAAGTGGAGAGTTGGGGTCTACTGTCCCCAGTCCCAGGCTCATAAGTTAGCTCTGGAGGGCAGGGAAGAAAAAAAGAGAGAAAGAGAAAGAAAAGGGGAGAGAGTGGAAGGACTGCCCCCCTCTCTCTGGAGGCTTCTTGGGCAGAGGGGGGCTTGGGGAGTCATCGGGGGGACCCAGCCCGCAGGTGCAGCGGAGGCAGCAGGCCAGGCCAAGCTGCTGCTCTGGCGGGGGAGTGTCCCCGAGGACATGGAAGCTTTGGAGGCGGTGAGGGGTGGGAGGAGGCAAGGAGGAGGAGGAGGAAGAGGCGGAGGAGCAGTGGCAGGGGAGGCAGAGGCTGCATACCAGGCTGTATCCTGTGGAGATAAGCAGAGCCCTGAAGTCATCGGAGTCCATGCTGCCTGTCTGCTTCTGCTCCCAGGACGCAGGCATAGCAGAGGAGACCAGGCCCAGAGCAGGCAAGAGGGGCCGCCCCAAGTACACAGCAGGCAGACAGGACAGTGGCAGGAGCAGGGAGACAGGAGGCCCCGAGAGACCAGGTAAGGGGAAGGTGTCCGAGTGACACGAGGGCAGGGAAGAGGCAAGAGAGCCGGTGAGATGGCATACACGATGGCAGGGGTGGAATGGCAGAGGGAGGGGAGAGAGAGAAGGAGAGAGAGAAACAGAAGAGCAGTTAATGCCACGGTCCGCTGGGCCGGGGGTGCGCGTACCTGCCGGTCGTTCTCCACGTCATAGCCCAGGCTGATGAGGCAGGCCTTGAACTCCTCGGGCCCCAGGGCCCCACCATGATCCTGCCGGGCCATCAAAGGCAGGTGCGCGGGGGCGATGTGGAGACCAGGCCGCAGAGATGGGACAGGGGCCAGGGCCACATGCAGAGGGCAGGGGAGGGGGACACATAGGGGAGGGAAACACAGAGTTAGAGGCGACAAAGACGAGGTGATGGCCAGGACTGTCAGGAGGGTCAGGAGGCGGCATAGGTCCCTCATTCTGCCTCCAGATGGAGGCCTCCCCAACTTTTGGGCCAGAGCAAGTAAGCAAAAGGTCCAGGATTTGGGCAAAGAGCAGGCATTAGGGAGCCACCTGCTGGCGCAGGGCAGAGACTGCACTTGTACCCTCAGAAGCTGCACAGAGGAAGTCAGCAGGGCCTGCCCAAGGGGGCCAGCTGGGAATGGAGTTAGGCTCCAGCGCTCAGGCCCCTCTACAACGACTGCCACCTCAACTTGTATCTCAAGAATTCTGTGTGGGACCAGGTTCCCAAGCTCCTGGCGGCAGGCTGGCATGATGCAGCCCCAGCGAGCAGCCTGGAGACCTCCTCCCCACCCACCTCTCCTGGTGCACCCAACATCCCCTGCGTGCTGGATCCTGCCCGCCCACAGCGGTGGCTGATGCTTAGTTGACTGCTGTGAATGAACAACAGACATAGAGACAGAGAAGGGCAAGAGGGGACAGTGACAATGGGGAAGGAAGGCATGCAAGGCCGGGCAGCTGCTCACCTTGTCGAAGTGGTTGAAGGATGCCCGGAACTCTTGCATCTGCTCCTGGCTGATGCCCTTTGCATCTCGGGTGAGGATCTGGTTCTCGACTTCATTGATGGTGCGGGCGATGGTGGTGAGGAGCTGCTCCCACCCCACTCGGATGTGCTGTGAGAGAGAAGGGGTGTGACCAAGGGCTGGTGGCTGTCTTGTACTGAGCGCGCGCGCGTGCGTGCGTGCGTGTTTTGCTAGCTGGGTCAGGTCTCCCCGCCAAGTGCCACCTCAGCTCCACATTCTCCTGTACACCAGCTTTGCACAGGGGGACATGGGGTTGTGGTGCTTCCCTGCTGCCTCTGCCAATCACCAGGGTTCGTCCACTCCCAGGGGATGCAGCACAAGGGCAAGGACACTACACACTTGTGCCAGGACCCACATGGCAGCATTTCAGAGGCTCCGACTGGTGGCAGGGGTAAAGGGGAGAACATACAACTCCACGCAAGTCTGTGGCTTTTATGGCCTGGTCAGTAGGGTGCTCCCCACAGAACTGCTCCTGACATCCCTGACATCCCTGACACACTAACCTTGTCCTGGCTGTACTGCCCCGTACAGGACCTGGGCCTCAAGCAAGGTTGAAACTGTGAGGCTACAGGCTGGAGTGGGGGTGGCAAAGGTCCTCTAGGTCCTGAGGAATTATGTCCAAAGACAGGAACTGTCACAGTGCTGGGGCAGCACAGCGTGGTTTTAAAAGTATGCATGCAGTCTGGCCTAGTCTTTCCAGACATTTTAAACAGTAAAAATAAGTGACAGAGCAAACAGCGGGCCAGCAAACCTATTTCACAGGGGAGCCCCGGGTGGGCGCGGGCAAGGGCGCGCACCTCCATGGTGTAGTTGGTGTGCTTGTTGTCGAAGATGAGGGCCTCCTGGATAAGCTGGTGCTGCTGCTCCAGCAGGTCCAGGTTGGGCTTGTAGTCCACGATGCTGCGCTCATACTGCTTCAGGTGGTTCAGTTGGTCCTCCAGGGTCCCGTTCATCTCAATAGAGATGCGCCCAATCTCCTGCAGGGGAGACGCGGTCAAGGTCAATGAGGCCTCACCCACAGGATGCCCCTCCCAACACCCTCGACTGCCCCTCTGGTGGCCTTCAAAAGCAGCTGCGGTGGGGACCTCTGTGCTGTACTTCACTGTATCCTCAACCTCTCCAAGAGACCCAGACACTGACTGCAGATGGGGAAACCAAGGCTCAAGGATCAGTCACCACAACCAGGGGCAGAGCCAGGCTCTGAACATAGGCCTGGCGAGGTTCAGAACCCGTGGTTCCTCGCCATGGGTACCTCATGCCCTCCACTCCCACTTGCTACCCACACTTGGAGGCACACTGCACCCCAAGGCAGGCTTTCAGCAAGGCTACTCACAGCCACCAGCACACAGCGAGTGCCAAGTGGCGGCCACAGCCACTACTAGTAGCATTTCAAACTCTCCCGGGGCTGTCATGAGGGTCCCTTGTGAGCTGTGAGGTTAGGCAATGCTGCTCACAGCCTCCTGTGGCACTCAGATGGGTCCCGCAGAATGAGGTACCTGCTCTCTCCCTTTTGAGAGCTGAGAAGTGGGGATCAGAGGCTCCAGATCACTGGACAGAGTGGAGCCTCAAATCCACATCTATTTGACCCTTAGCCAGCTTTCTCTGGCTGGCACAGTTCACCCACATAATCCTGCTGACCCTTGGCAGTCAGCTGGGGCACAGCCATGAGGGGTCCCCTCACCTCCATCTTGGTCTGGATCCAGGGCCCCACCACATTGGCCTGGCTGGCAAACTGGCGGCGGAGGTGCTCGTTGGACTGCTGCTTGCTCTGCTCCTCCATGAGTGCATGGTCCCTCTTTGGCACCAGCTGCTGTACCTGAAGGGCCGCGTAGGAGTGGTGAGAGGGAGGTAGCCACACTCGGCAGCAGGGCCCCAGCCCACTTGAGGGGCCCAGCCCACCTTCTCCCACTTGGAGTTGATGATCTGAGGGGTGACGGTGGTGTAGGGGTTGCTGCCTGACAGCTTGATGTGGTTGCTCTCAGCGATCCTCTGGGCTTCTTTGTGGATGGCCAGAATGGCCTCGCGCTCTCTGTCAGCATCTGGCAGGGTCGACTTGAACTGGTCATGTGCTGAGATCAGGCCCTGGGGGATGAGGAGG